TTTGGGTTGGGTGTTGGGTGGTAGATTGGATGGATGGATGGATGGATGGATGGATGGATGGATGGATGGATAGATGGATGGATGGTTGTTTTTGGATGGAGGAAGACATGGCTGAATGGATGATGAATGATGGATAGTTGGGTAATTGATGGATGGACACAATGATGGACACATGGATGGCCAAGCCCATCACCATCCCCTCTGTTGCAGCTGCAGCCGAGCCAGAGGAGCCGCTCCTGCCGTCAGAGGAGCCCCAACCTGGGCACCCCCAAACTGAGCCTCCCCCATCTGAGGTCCCTCCAGTACGGGCGGTGCTGCGGGAGCTGAGGGTCTCCAGCATCACCCCCAGCTCCGTGGGGCTGAAGTGGAGCGTCCCCGAGGGCACTTTTGACTCCTTCATGCTGCAGTACCAGGATGCCCAGGGCCAGCCCCAGGCCCTGCCCATCGATGGCAGGTCCCGCTCAGTGACGGTGCCGGGGCTGTCCCCGTCCCACCAGTACCGCTTCCACCTCTATGGGCTGCAGGGTGTGAAGAGGATCGACCACGTCTCCACTGCAGCTGTCACAAGTGAGGGGGAAGGTCAGAGAGTTGAGAGTGGGTGGGTGGATGGATGGATGGATTAGGTGGGTATGGATGGATGGATGGGTGGATACATGGGGTGTTGGTGGGAAGGATGGTGAGTGGGATGAAGGGTTGGTGAGATGGGTGATTGGTTATGAGTTGGCTGTGGGGATGGAGGGATCAAGAGGGTTATGGATCATAGGTGGATGATGGTTCGATCAGTGTCCAGATGATGGGTGGATGGGTGACAGGAGAAAGAGTTCTGGTGGTCAGAAATTCAAGGGGAAGGACAGAGGAGCAGTGGAAAGAGATGTGGCATGGAGCGATGGATGTACAATGGATGGAAGTTGTGATGGATGAATGGATGAATGGATGGATGGATGGATGAATGGATGGATGGAAGCAGGGCTGGATGGGTGGGTGCTCAGGTGACTAATTAGACAATTAATGACTTAATGTGTGGTTGGACCCTAAGTGGATCCTGGAATTCATGGACCAATGAATGGGTGTGAGGGAGAAGGGTCATGGAGAGGGGATGGGTCCTGTGGGCTGGGAAGAGAGGTGGATGGAGAATGGATGGGAGATCCTGGATTGGATGGAAGGATGTGTGGCTCTTTGGATGGGATGATGGATGATGGATGGACAGAAAAACAAGAGGAAGGAAAGACGGATGAAGCAATGGAAGAAAGGCGGATGGAGTGATGGATGGATGGGTGGAGAATGTATAGATGGGAGGCTGGGTGGGTGGCTGGCTGGCTGGGGGTCTCCTGGATAGGATAGATGAAATGGTTGATGGATGGGTGGGTGGAGAATGTTTATGGATGGGTGCAGCTTGGGATGAGCCCATGACTGGTTTGTGCCCTGGATGAGTGAAGCAGGGGAGTGGGGTTGAAGATGGAAGAACAGACAGGGGACTGAATATAGCTGGAGAGATGATGGATGGACAGGACAGGTAGGTGGTGAATCTCCACATCTTGCCTTGTCCTATCTCCACACAGCCTCACCCTCGGAGGCTCCCCCAACTGAGGAATCCCCAGCTGAGGACCATGAACATGAAGACCAACAAACTGAGGCCCTCCCAGCACGGGCAGTGCTGGGGGAGCTGAGGGTCTCCAGTGTCACCCCCAGCTCCGTGGGGCTGCAGTGGAGTGTCCCCGAGGGCCCCTTTGACTCCTTCACACTGCAGTACCGGGATGCCCAGGGCCAGCCCCAGGCCCTGCCCATCAACGGCGGGTCCCGCTCAGTGACGGTGCCGGGGCTGTCCCCGTCCCACCGGTACCGCTTCCACCTCTATGGGCTGCGGGGCGGGAAGAGGATCGACCACGTCTCCACTGAGGCTGTCACAGGTGAGGGGGAAGGTCAGAGAGTTGAGGGTGGGTGGGTGGGTGGATGGATGGATGGATGGATGTGTGTAGCATTAGTGAAAGGGGTGGAGAGTGGGATGTAGGGTTTGAGAGATGGAAGATGGGTGATGGATTGGATGGAAGGATGGAGGAACCAAGAGGGTGATGGATCATGGGTGGATGGTGGTTGGATGAATGTCCAGATGATGGGTGGATCAGTGGCAGGATAAAGAGCAAGGATGGACATAAATACAAGAGGAAGGACAGATTTATGGAGCAGTGGAAAGAGATGTGGGATCAAGCGATGGATGCACAATGGATGGAAGTGGGAAGGGAGGGATGGATGGGTGGATGGATGGATGAATGGATGGATGGAAACAGGGATAGATGGGTGGTGCTCGGGTGACTAATTGGACATTTAATGACTTAATGTGTGTTTGGAGCCTAAGTAGGTCCTAAGGTTCATGGATCCATGAACTGGTGTGAGGGAGAACTGTCATGGAGAGGGGATGGGTCCTGTGGGGTGGGAAGTAAGATGGATGGAGAATGGATAGGAGATCCTGGATTGGATGGGTGGATGGGTAGAGTGGGGTTCCTGGAATGGGTCAATGGGTGGCTGGGTGGATGGGTGATTGATGGATGGACGGGATGACTGATTGATGGATGGGATGAACAAAATAACAAGAGGAAGGAAGTATGGATGGAACAGTGGAAGAAAGTGTGAGACGGAGCGATGGATGAATGGTTGGAGAATGGACAGATAGTTGGGTGTGTGGATGGATGGGGGTCTCATGGGTTGGAGGGATGAGATGGATGGGTCAATGGATGGATGGGTGGACATATTTATGGAGCGGTGGACATGTTTATGGATGGGTGCAGGTTGGGATGAGTCTGTGGCTGGTTTGTGCCCTGGATGAATGAAGCAGGGGGGAGGGCTGAGGATGGAAGTACAGACAGGGGGGATGAATGTGGCTGGACAGATGACAGATGGACAGAAGGAAAGGCAGGTGGAGAATCTCCACGTCCTGCCTTGTCCCATCTCTGCACAGCACCAGCCTCACCCTCAGAGGCTCCCCCAACTGAGGACTCCCCAGCTGAGGACCACGAACATGAACATCAACAAACTGAGGTCCACCCGGTGCGGGCAGTGCTGGGGGAGCTGAGAGTCTCCAGCGTCACCCCCAACTCCGTGGGGCTGCAGTGGAGCGTCTCCAAGGGTCCCTTTGACTCCTTCATGCTGCAGTACCGGGATGCCCAAGGCCAGCCCCAGGCCCTGCCCATCGACGGCGGGTCCCGCTCGGTGACAGTGCCGGGGCTGTCCCCGTCCCACCGGTACCGCTTCCACCTCTACGGCCTGCGGGGCAGGAAGAGGATCGACCACGTCTCCACTGAGGCTTTCACAGGTGAGGAGGAAGGTCAGACAGTTGAGGGTGAGTGGGTGAATGGAGGGATGCGTGGAGTGTTGATGAGAGGGATGGAGAGTGGGACAAAGGTTTTGAGAGATGGAAGATGGATGATGGATTGGATGGAAGGATGGAGGAACCAAGAGGGTGATGGATCATGGGTGGAT